AGAGAGAGAGAGAGAGAGAGAGAGAGAGAGAGAGAGAGAGAGAGAGAGAGAGAGAGAGAGAGAGAGAGACACCACACCCCTCTTTGTTTTTTTTTAATGAATCTGGTGTGGAAAAGCGTCCAGATTTGGAAGAACTGTTCGATTGCCTGGGAAGGCGGATTGTGCCGAAGTTGCGAATGCTGCCTGCTGCCTTCCTTGGCTTGGAAAGAGGCTCCAGGCCTGGGCCACAGACGCGGTTTCGGATTTTGTTTCTGGGACCTGGGCCAATCAAGTTGTTTCGTTTGTTTTCAGGATCATGGCCACCTGCCCGTCCCTTCACCTACAACAAGCCCCCGCTTCCCTAAAATGCCCTGCCTGCAATTTATCCACCCTTCCAACGACCTATATGAGGCCTACTACTCCAACGACCGGTTTACACCACCAGTACACGTCAGTTGCATTTCCAGCCTCCGAAAGTCACGGTGGGGACCGATGTATGGCCGTGTACTGGAAAATGCGTCAGGTGTATAAATGCACTCTCTATGGGCTTCGAACACCACCGCTATTCTTCGGAGAAACTTGAATACAGCCCCCACACTTTTTGTTCAGGGGGCTTTGTCTAGGCCTACATGTGTGATGACGAAGCAGAAGGGGGCCTCTTGCAACGATATGACACATCGAATCACACACTGAGGGGCTGGGTAAGAGCCTGGGGGCTCTAACAGCGAAGCGGAAGTTAGGAGCCCAACTTTCCCCTCAAGGAGCAAATACATCCGTACATTCGTAGTATTCGTAGTACAACGGAGGTATCTTGGTCTCTTCGGTGGGAAGGTGCACAAACATTCCCATAGCTTGTTGACCTTGCTTCCTCAGCAGTCTTACTGAGTACTGAAGTACAGCCATCTGGCATCTGGCAGGTGCGCAGGCCTCGGTGAAAACGAACATATCGGGTCTGACGCGTCCCTGCGCGCAGCTCTGTGGGGGCCAAAGAAAGAAAAGAACGGAGAAGAAGGCACCAACGGGCCCAGAGAAGGCGGCCTACAGGCCATTGACCAGAGGAGTAGCGTTCGATCATCTCGCTACCTCAAGATCGGACGGTTATTTCGATTCCACGCTCGGTTTAACCGTCTCCACCTATCAGAGTATCGTTTGCGATCGACCCTGTTGTCTTTTCGGTTCCCTGCAAGAATGTGTCCGTTATATTTCCCTCGTACCTACCCCCGCGCGTTCATTCAGCTTGAAACGAAAGGGCTGGCGGGTAATTTTGCCTTATCGTGATTGCATTGCGCAGATCGTGGTTTCCCTGCAAGGTCAGCGGCAGTAAGGAACAAGGAACGTCGTCGTGGTCGCCGATGAGGCGGCTGGGGCACGACCACGCGGCCAACAAACAAAGAAAGACATTCACCGAAATGAGAACATCAGTGAAGGTCGTATCGTAGATCGACCTGCACAGGTCATCGCTGGTTAATCTATTCTTTCTATGCTCGCACTTGTGCTCGGCAGCTTCGAGGAGATTAGAGCAAGGGGGACTCGTACCGCATGGTCAAGCCTGCCACTGTAGAGGAGGGCGCCTCGCCTTGAGCTTCGCAAAGCACTTAGCGTACAACCTGACGGCGGATTCTGCGTGTATGTCCCGCCGGTTCGCTTTAGTACACGGCCGTTGAAAGGCGGTTGGTTCTCTCTCTCTCTCTCTCTCTCTCCTTCTCACACACAGACGGTTGCTGTCGTTGAGTAGCAGGATTCCTTCCCTGTTGCGGCGGCTTGTGACAAAGGCACTCTCTTTTCTCTTCTCATCCTGTCCTCTCTCTGTCTCTCTGGTGAATATTTGGTGGTGTACTTTGAAAGGCGGAGAAGTCGGTAGCAGCTCGGTGACGACGCCATGGATGATGCAGCTGAAAGAGCGAAAGACGCTTACGAGGCGGAGGCATCGCCGGCCGGTGGAGGGTTTAATCCGACTTTGACGGTATTGGTTGTGGTTGTCGGCGTGGTTTTGCTCTTCGTCATAGCCAATTGCACCCTGTATTTCTACGCGAATAAAACCCTTCCGTCGCGGAAGAAGAAGATCATGTCCAAGAAGAAGGCGAAAAGGGAGAAGCTGAAGCAAGGCCTTACTCCTGCTGGCGAGTAATTAATTAGTCATCAATTTGAACTTGATTGGTCGATCGATTAATCGATCGGTGCGACTCGACGCTTTCTGATTGGTCGTCGTTTTTTTTTGTTTTTGTGATTTTTCTTCTGTTTATCCTGGTTACTTCTATTTGCGTCCATATTCATTCCGATCTCTCTACTCATCTGAGGACAGACAGATGAGCGAGCGAACGAGAGAGCGAGAGAGAGCGAGAGCGAGAGAGAGAGAGAGAGGGAGAGAGAGAGATTTTCATTTTCGGTTGCACGAAGCAGAGGAAAGAGTCCGCTTAGTGTGTTCCTTAGGCTACAGGGGAAGGAAGAAATTCCGATGGGAAGGAAGTTGAGGTGGTTGTTGTGGTGCTACGTTTATTACGTGGCGACGGAAATGCGTGGGCGATGTGATGCTACTGATGGAAGTTGAGGCGATTCATATATCGCTTTTCTTGTCTCATAATCGGCAGTTTTGTGCTCACATCCCATCTCCTCCTTCCTGATCTCCTCCTTCCTGGTGCCGTCACGGAAATAGCCGTGCGCGTCTTCTTTTCTGTGATGTTATCGTTAAGGAAATGCACTCACTGAGTAAGGATTCTCATCGCACTGGTTTTGTATGTGCTCGTATCCTTCTTGCTGTTTGCTTTTGAGGGCTTCATCATGATGCTCTTTCCTGTTATTGCCCCTCCGTTGCCATGAATTTGAAGTTATAAAGTGAGCTTTTCTTTGATTTAACTACTACAGTAAGTGATATAGCCCTCCAGCACTTACTGTATCATGATGTTATCAGTAGTAAATCATGGGCACGGGTGTTATCAGTAGTAAATCATGGGGGTGACGTTCGAACGGCCGAACCCAATCGCTCTGTGATGGAGTTACAGATAGCGATTGGGTTTTTGGACATGGAGTATACAAGGGTGCATGTCTTACGTGGATTTGTTTCCGCCACGTATATACGACAGTGTGTCGTTGCTGGTTCATTGGTTCCCCCTCCGGATCTACCCAGTCATGCTGGCTTGGCTGGCGATGGACCATCGGTAGTAGCAGTATTATCAATTACAGTATGTCTTTCGTGGAATCAACGAGAAAAACGCGAGGGTCGTTGTTGTTGATTGGGGGAAAGAAAGAAAAGGAAAGAAAAAACAACGCGCGGGGGCACAGATGTGGTTCGGTCTGCGTCCGATGCGAACGAAGGGCGAGAGGCATAATAGGAGGCGCGACTTGAGGAAAAAGAAAAAAAAAAAAAGGCGGCGAGACTCCGTTGGTTGTCGTTTGCCCGTTGTCGATAGGTATCGCGTTTGGGTAAGGGTGTATCCTGTCTGCTCGCATTTCTGACTGTCTATGTATGTATGTGTATTGGCATAGAGAAATCGACGACCATAATACATACATGAGAATGTACATATGATGTGTATATTGGTGTGTATAGGTGTACGTTTAGGGTTCAGCCTCCTGATGAGTTGGTGATAAGCCGATAAAGCAGACTGTTGCAGCCCCGCGCTTACTGCTTTTTCCGTTTCCCGTTCTGTTCACGGTTCACCGTGCAGTTTCTCATGGCGACGATATATGTACATATGTATGTATGTATATATATCGCCTCTTCTCCTTGTAAATTCCCCGGTTTAGCAGGTAGTGCTATTTGATGAGGTAAAAAGTATATATACATATATTTCATACGGGTTGTATATACTTGTATGTGCCCTAATTTCCAATTTTGTATGTGCTGATCGGTGGTTGCGCGCCGAGTTACCAAAGAACGTCGTAGGGTGGCCCTAATTTCCAATTTTGTGTAGAAGCCCTAAGTCTACTGTGAGGCTAAGCTGGTAATACTCGGTATAGTCGCTGTATTGGCGAAATTCGGCGGCTTTGGTCGTAGGTT